TATGTATATATAAAAATCATCTTCAGAAAATAATAATGCAATGAAGAAAAAAAGTGTAATTAAAATAATATTATAGTTAACTGCGTTACACAAATATATAGGTAGTATTTACAAGAAGCGCGTGCGTGAATTTAAACGTTCGTGATTGTATAATTATTATTGTCATTATTATTATTATTTTACCGTTGATTAATTAATTGATTAGCTAAGTTGTTATCATGAAAATAATTAAATTTGCACATGGCAACTGAAAATGAAGCAATTGCTCTGCTGTCCCATTCAACAACCAGTTGTATAACAACACACCTCAAACGAATTTGAAATTAATTTAAGAGTTGGAGCGATGGTGGGGTGATGATCACTTGATGCAGAGTGTGTCCATCCATCCATCCATCCATCCATCTTCATGATTGATGTGTGAATTGAGGTAGGTAGGTGGTGATGGGGTGGAACCATAAAGGAAAGAACTGTGAAGAAGGTTCAGCAGTCATAAAACTAATCTAACTTTTTTGATAAATTTCTGAAATCAGTTTCTTTCTATATGATCACTAACGGTAAATAATTGATAAACAGCGAATTAAACCTAGCATGATCATAATGGGTACTTGTACTTAACTATTACTATAAACATCGGTATTATTATTATTATCATCGTTATTATTACTATTATGGTTGAGAATAAGGATGAAGTAAGTAGTAACTGGCGGGTGCTTAGTGATTATTTGTGGGTAAATACAATGTTCTAGTGCGGTGGCATTGTTGATGTTGCTTGAAGCAGATAGAATTTCACGTTATCAGGTCAGCTAGCGTTCGTGTTTATCCCCGATCACAGCGTGGCTCTGTATGTTCAGCTGCGAAAAAGCGCTGTACGAGAACGTGGTTCTAAATACAATTTATTTAAAAACGAATTGACTGAGCATTCGCAATATGTGTTCACATTGACAATTTTTAAGAAAATTTAAGTGGGTTTTGAATTATTTGTTGATTTAATTCTTCAATAGAAAGTGAAAAACAATAAAACAACCTTTGGAGTGATGGCAAAACGATGCGGAATGCCTTTCGGAATCACCAACAAATCCCCTTTCTCCACATTGATCCGAATCCACTCATCCTCCTCAATCTCTACATCATAATATGCACTACCCTCCATCACTAAATACCCTGAATCGTCATCTCTTTTAACCGGTTCGTACAGTTCATCTAACTGCAATTTTATTCATCCATTACTTTACAATAATAATAAGTATAATAACAGTAATAATAAATATAAATAATATATATAATAATGATTATAATAACAATAATAATAATAGATATAATAACAGTACTAGTAGTGATAAGTAGAATGAAAATAATGTCACTACTGCAAACCTTTTGTTCGAGACCGCTTACTGATGAATTTATAGTGAATACATCACTAAAAGGCATATTTCGTTCGGTTTTCACTTTTGATATACGTTTTTTAAGTGCATTCGCATCCTCCAGATCCACCTCAAATTCAAGAAAGCAGTGTCAATGGTGAAGAGAATGATTAATTAATTGATTATTTAATTAATTAATTAAGGAATTAAGTAAGTTATGAACCAACATGATAGTAAACAATGCCAGTGAGTGAGTTGAGTTGATCCGGTGTGAAGCGTTTCGGTGGAAACATATGATGTGGTAGTCGTCGATCACCACACGGATACATCTCCATTTGCCAAATATGCATTTTTTAGATTATTTTCAGTTCTAGACTGAAATTTTGTGTTGTTTGTTAATTGGCTAGTAGCAGATGAGTAAGTGCTTCTTAAAACAGCCAATATGTACATTACAGTAAACTATTGAATGAAACAAGAATAAAGTCTAGCGATAACAGCAGGTGACACTTGAATAATCAGTGTTTTGGTAGGTAGGTAGGTAGGTAGGTAATTAGTATTTGATGTGTGAATTGAGCAAAGAGTATGCACTGCTGGGTTTATGTTTGTGTTGTCGGGCAGACTGAGTTTACACGTTTCAACTAAAGCATGCAGCCAGCTTGTTAGATTATTATTCATTGGAGAAGAAAGGAACTGACTACATGATGGATGCATGGCCGAATGAGTGTGCTTCGACTGGATAATATTCATGTGATAAGCACATTTGCATTTATGTTTTATTAGATAATAATAATAATGATAATAACAATAATAGTGATAACAGTAATGATAAGAAGAATAGTCGATAAGATAATATTTATGATAATGTTTATGTTTTTTGATTGTTTTCGTGTTCAACAATGGTTTCTTTGAGTGAAATAAAATGAAAGAGAAAATGGAATAAAATTATTAAAGGCTGTGTGAATTGATTCATGAGAAGATAAACAATAATCAGAAGATATTATAATGAAAAGGTGATATTATAATGAATCTGCAGCAACATCGAAACGATAACGGCGCCAAAGCACAAGAATGCTCATTGATAAAAATGATAAGCCTAAGCAATAGAATTTTGTCTAAGTGAAACGACGACGCACGCAATCAAGCATGACTGCTGCTGTCTCCAGTTGGGTTGCGCACCTTTGAAAGATAAGAAGGTTGACCCGCCCGGCCCGGCTCGGCTCACCCCCTGCCCCCCACCTCTACCCCTCACCCCACTTGCCAGCCACTCCTTCTTGGATCTTATCGCATGCTTCGCATGCTCATGGATGGGTGTGTCTGTTTGCTTTTACTCTAATTAGCAGCTTAAATAGAATAAACTCAACGAAAACAAATCAAAAATGTGTCGGCGAACAATGATCATCACCTTAATGACATATTAAGTGCACACAAACAAATAAGTATTTTCTTATAATCACATCAGAGTTTTATCATTAATTAATTACACATTGAAGAATAATCACGCAAGCAACTACGCAAAAACTAGACAATTAATGAAATGAGCAATCCAAATGAGCACCACTATCCAGCAGTCAGCCAGTCAGCCAGCCGTTCGTCTAAAACAAGAAACTGAACAAGATTTATTCTGTCTCTTTGAATTCACCACAAATTCAATTACACGTATGTATCTTCGTGCATTCATTTGCACAGCATTCAGTCACCGTCACGTCACGTTCACCATTCAAAACGCATTAATTTTGCAATCCATTTACTCCATACTTGAATTTCGATATGAAACGCTGCTTGTAAGTGTTAATTGTTTTTATAGGGTGGTCGTTTCTTTGATGTGATGAACATTTTCGATGTGATTACCTTTGTTTGTTTTTAAGATTATGATTGATGTAAATAATATTTTGAAGAGTGCCCTTGGTAACTGAAGAGTATCTATCGTATCGCCATTCATGCTATAAGTACTTAAATATCAATCATCCTTATTGCCTGCCTGTGCATGCCCTCTATTGATATCTCTCTCCAAAACGCACCAGCATTCATCTATCTGAGCACAATTCGTCCAATTATTTTCCTACGTGTTTCTTGTATTGCCGTTTTGCTATTAGTTTTATTGTTGTTCTTCGTATTATTACAGTTTATTATCACTAGTTTAGCCACTATTAAATAACATTATTGATTTGATGAAATAGTTTCGAATTTGATTCAATTATAAATGAAACAAATAAATGATAATAAACACAGTTGATGAATGCAACATTTGATATGGCAGTCATATATATCATAAACCTTGAATATGTCTGCATAAAATCACGTATTTAATTGGTATGAACGCAAGAGGCAGCACATCAAGCGTGTATTTAGTTTTGCGAATGCACGAAGCGATCGTATGAACCGGCAAATTCCTGTTTTTGAGATCTGTGAATTGAATAATGTGAACGATGTTTTGTTTATCTCTTTATCATTAATCACTAATTTGTTTATCAGCCATTGATAAATTTCAACACGTCTAGATTTGCAGTATAATGATATGAGTGTAATGATAAAAGAAGATTTAACATAATATCACAAATCATCGAATATGTATGTATGCATATTTCAGTTTGTTCAGCAGCTAACTATGTCCATCCAGATTTAATATCGTCAGGGCAGGGCGGTCAGCACCCTATTGCAGATGAGATGACATTCAGAGCGATAGAGCGAGCTTGTGGAACGAACTTTTGATGCATGCAGAGCAAAACAATTTGTTGTAGAGAAGTAGTGATCGTCGTCGTTTTTTTTTATATTTCTTAAAAGTGTCATTGTATTCGTTGATTGGCTGATTGATTTTTAGGTCATCGTTTTGTTGGTTATTTTAGTGATTTGTTCGTTCGTTGGTTTGCTTGAAAATTTCTCAGATTTGATGCGATACGAAGAAAAATTCCACTCAAATAATCTTGATATCACATTTGATTTCGATCAAATTTTTTTTTGATTCGTAAAAAAACAACAAAATAGATAAAAGTCTATTGAAAGAAAGAAACACAACCAAGCACACAGCAATGAAACATACATAAATTGTGCAGCGGACTTCGTCTCTCAACAACATGTTTTTCATTTGAGATGCCAGCCAGAAAAGCGAACAAAGAGTACTACAGTACAGTCAAAATGAATAAATTCTGCAGAAACGCAACTATAAAGATGCAAAAAATTTGTGTTTTGATTGTTTTGAGAATAAAAGAAAGCACCACCACACAAACCGAATTCTAAATTCAGCCATAAAAACAGCCGCCATAATAAAAGTACGATTTTATTATTATAGTTGTTGTTTTTATGGTTGTTATTTGAGTATATTATTTGGCTCTTATTGCTTTGTGAAAGAAATGCAACTGTGAAATACATAGCTATATGCAATGAAGGGTAAGTAGCACTTGTGATATAAGGGCTTGGCGATAGCTGTTGTGAATACTTTTAAAGATTAAGATGTATGTGCTGAACCTGACGGTACCCGTTGACAATACACTTGATTGATAGATATTTTGAAAGATGAGAATCTTGGCTATCCGATGGCGTCAAGAAATGATATGCTCACTGTTCAAACTTGAGCATTCCCAGAGTTTGAATAATGTAGCACTTAAATGATTGATATATTTTTATAGATTAATGTATGATATACTTTTATAGATATACTTTAATGTATGATATACTTTAATGTATGATATACTGTATGATATTAATGTATGATATACTTTACTTTTAATGTACATCTGCTGATCTTGACGGAATCACTCGACAATGTACTTGATTCACATCATATGATGAATGTGAATAAAGATTTATTTAGGGGGGAGGGAGGGGGGGTGGGGGAGCGCTCCCAGCCAGGGCCCTCGACGGGGAGCCCGTTCCCCGATGAACACTATTCTTAACATGTTTGCAGCTATATCACTTATATCCCTTGATCATGTTTGATCAACATATAATGTTGCTTTCGTGCGTGAAACTGCTGCAAAGATCACACGTAATATTTCTTTGCATCAAACAACACTAATCAATCAATTTACTACAGTACATAAACATTACAGTACATGTGCTGAACAAACGATAAGTGAATATAACAATAATAAGGAGAATGCTAGTGATATGAGTAATGATATCGTGATAATGATAGTGATAACGTAAAATAACCTTCATAATCAATGATAACAATTATAGCGATAANAATAATAATAATAATAATAATAATAATAAAATAATAATAATAACGAAACAGAATCTCTTAATCAAGACTGCAACGCATTGAATCGACAGAATACAATTTATGGCCACCGAATAAACTTTCAAAACAATCACAAATACCACTAGATGCGTTTAACTAGACTTCTGAATTGCGTACCGCACCACCAAGCAAACATTCGTAAGAATATTACTCATGGCAATATAATACCATACAATAAAGCAACAACACTATCATAAAGCACGTAACTAACAATTGTCATTAAATATGACACAGCAATAATATTGATTATATACTTCGATGATGATAAAATCGATCACAATATCAACATGATCACTCCAACAAAAAATATATTCAAATATAAATGAACCTATCTATTTATATGTAAGCTATATCTGATTATTATCGTCATTACTGTTATTATCACTGTTTATTTCACAGCTAAATAATAATAATAATAATAATAACAATAAAAATAACTAAACAAGTGAACAACTATATTAAAAAACTACTGTTTTACGGATATCTAGCACAAAAACATCTGAAAAAAATATGTACAAAATGTTGCGCATAAATAAATTATTAATAAATGATCACTTGATTGATCATCGTAGCTGTGTTGATTGCATTTTGTTGATCACACATGGTGCTTGCTACTATGATTATGAGGACGCTTCAATTGTGGGCGCAAGCTCGGATGGTTCATCACCTGCCGCCTCATTGCTACGTTCCACTTGATTTCGACGATGGTTTAGAATGGCTTTCAATTCGACCGCGCTTGGAGTGGCATACTGAAGTGGCATTATCATGTGTATGTGGTATTGTCTAATTACCTGGATTACCTGGATTGGCCAGGCATTGTCTAATTACCTGGATTACCTGGATTGGCCAGGCATTGTCTAATAATATGTGTAATTTTGAGTTGATAGCGTGCATTTATTCCTTGTGAAACTTTTGCGTGCAACCGGCTGGCTGAACTCGCATAAAATAAACGAAAAAAAAAACATTCGAAAAAGAACACCACTTACCCCAGACTTTTTCTTTTGCAAGAGCAGTTGACTGTAAAGACGTCCGCCTTCCTCACGTCCGCACACCTCCAACAGTTTCTTTCTACTTAACGCAAATAAATTCGCCCCATTTTGGTCTTCAAGCAGCTCATGCACCCTCAAAATAAATGTCAATCGGTTAACTGAAACGGTAATCTAAGAACACGGCTTGACCACATGGCCAGTGAGTACACACCCAACTCCTTTTATATTACACATTAGATTTTGAACACTAATACGAAGTGTCCTATTTCTTAATGCAAAATCTATCACCTGCAAAGTATCTACTGCTAAAGATTCAGCTCCGTGAGCTAACCTTCTGGAGCAGTGATCTATCCGTCCGGATTAACAAAACAAAGCTCACTTCAATAGCAATTAACAACATCAAGCACCGCTGCAAAGTCAAACATTAAACGAACGAACACAACAATAAGCACTCACCAAACACTGAAACCTTTTTCAGTTAGCCAATCCTGTACTTGGGCCGGCGATGAGGTTTCTTTAAGCAGAATAATGTCCGGCTTATACTTGTATTTCTGCTTATCAAGTATTGCTTCACCTCTGTTTCTACCGACCGTCGCCATGATTTCTCGCATGTGCTCAACAGGTGCTGCAAATGCGATAACAACAATGCCAACACAATCAATCACCCACCATACTCCAATAAAGAGATTCAGAAACATTCACTTCGGAATACACAGTCTCAAGCGGCTGCTTAGATATGGCCAAAAATATTTTCGAAAATTTT